GCGACGTCGTCTCCGTTGTCGTCGTCGGCGTCGGCGTCGTCGTCGTCTTCGTCGACGTCGACGTTGGCGGTGTCGTCGTAGTCGGTGTCTGCGGCGCCGTCGTCGTCGTTGTCGCTGTCGTCGTCGGCGTCGGTGTCGTGGTTAAGTGCCACGCGGTACCTACCGTCACGGTCTTGTCTTAAGAAGTCTTGCGACCAAGTTGCGGGTGGGAGGGTGGGATAGTAGAGAGGACAGCTTCAAGACGGTCAATGCGAATTCATATTTAGGATGGGCATGCGGTCAGAATCATATATGATTTACATACCCGAAAGGGGGAGTGATAACGACGGGGGGGTAGAGTCTATTCTGTTTGTAGAAAGTAGAATTTATTATAACAGATACGTGTGGAGCAATATGTTTGGTACAATGTATGTTGTGCAATCTATGTTTTGCAATCGATGCTGTCCACATTCGTGGTGCAGTCTATGTTGATAAGGATCGGTGAAGCAATTTATGTGGTGCAACCTGCTTTGCGCAATCTATATGTTCCACTGTCATGCAAGGCAATGCAATGCAAAGCAATGCAAAGCGCGGCGGCGACGAGGCTGCGATTGGGCGGCGACGGCGGCCACATAGCCGCCAGATCGACGTACAGGCCCAGACGATGGGCGGCGACGAGGCGGCGACGGGGCGGCGACTACGGCCACATAGCCGCCAGACCAGCGCTCAGGCCCAGTCTTCATTCCAGCATTGAGAATCCCTGAGTGCGAGCACTGTTCGGGGAATTCAAGTTTCTGGTTGTACATGTTAACGGCAGCTGAAGTACGATCCCCACGTTGGAAAGGAGCCGCCTTCCATCCTGGCAAAGTTTGCTTGATGTTATGCTTCTGGCCATAAAGTGGGGACTTCCCAGGCGAGAGCATCATTCCGAAGGGAGCCGCCCTCCATCCTTGTAGTCGTTGGGAGCTTTGATGCGCATGTGCGCAGCGCTAGGTCGCCAGCCACGTTCTGGAAACCGACCGTCCTCTATCGCTGTAGCTGCGGGGCGCTTTTAGGACGGATGTGCGCGGCGCTGAGGCGAGAGCCACATTTAGAAGACCATCCGCCCTCCATCCGTGTAAGTGTTGGGGGGATCTCAAGCGTCAGGGTCGGAAGCGGCGAGAAAGTCTCATTCGAAGCGGCGGGCCCGCTCTACGGACAGTTCTGGTAATGCGACGAGAAGGAGCTACTTAGGAGGAAGAGGGATGGGAAAGGGGGAGGAGAAGGAGGAGGTCGAGGATGAGACTGCTGGAGGCGGCGGCGGCCGCCCAGGCCGCCCTGGGGCCATGCTGGCCAGCTAGGAATGTAGTCGCCATGACGAGACAATTTAAGAATGAATGCTATTAGCATCATGGTCGCATGAGTCGGATGATCGTATGTAGTCTTTCTTCGATGCTCAGCTGAAGGTGCCTTCAGTGCCTTGGGTTCCAGTGGCACCCCCGTGGCTTCGGCGTGGCACGGCCGAGCCCGACTCCAGGGCTTCCCTGTCTGCCCCCGGATGGCATTATGCGTATAACAGGTGCATGTGTTGTTGGAGGCGGCGGTGGGGTTGAGGCCCCGTCGGGGGCTCTTCACATCACATGACAATGGGCTCGCAGATGCTGAACGGTGTGCTCTGATTTGATGGTCGGCTGCCGCATTCTGGCGCACATGCGCGCACGATAAAGAGAGGGGCTGTCGTCGACGGATGTACCCTGTCATTCACTCGCTCACAAGCCATACGCCGTCCGGCGCGTGGGCAGGAAAACAAGGTCAAGAAATCACAGACAGCAAGAAATCACAGACAGCAAGAAATCACAGACAGAATAATGTACCCTGGGTGGATGCTATTCATTCGCGCACTCTTGACCCACGTTTGTTGTAGGATTCATACAGGGTCAGTGCATCCCTGGGCAATCAGATGCCACGAAGAGATTCAGCTCTAAGATTTAGAAACACAAGCCAGGGCAAGGGCACCAAGACAGCTCTGGATTTCGTGAGGTCGCGGCATCCATACCACCGCTACACAGAAGAGACCTTCTCGGTCGTATGATTGGGCAGCAGGTGCTATGCAATGTATAGGTTGAACATGTCGGTATCTTCGGATTGCGACCATGATGCTCTTTTTTTTCACACCAGGCTTTTTAACGGCAAGGCTCTGCGCCCAGTCGTTCTTCGATGGAAGGGGAGCTTCTCCACCCTCGATGCGTTCCTCCCGTGCTACCATCCTTGAGTCCCTTGTTGCACCCACCAGTCCAATCCAATCCAATCCCCCTCCCTTCCCTCGCCCCCAAGGGGAGAACGAGGGGCAGGATGTAGTCGAGGAGGGGTAGGAGGTCGAAGAGGAGGAGGAGGAGGAGGAGGAGGAGGAGGATCAGATCAGAACACATATGGGGCAGCAGGAGTTCTCCCTTCCAGACAGTGCCCCTTATGATCGGGCTACACCCGAGCGTCACTGTGCAATGCGTTGTTCGTGCACCGTTGCAGCTCGCATCACGCTGAGGGGATGATGATGATGAGGAGGAGGAGGAGGAATAGGAGGAGGAGGAAACACAAGATGAGGAGGATGTCGAGGAGGAGGATGAGGAGGATGTTCAGGAGACGAAGAATGACAAGCAGGAAGAGAAGGCGGAGGAGGGAGAGGAGTTCAATGAGATGGTCGAGGTTACGTTCGGCGTAGATCGAGGATGACGAACCTGTAGTAGGCTCTCGTCGATGCTCGCCCCCCCCGAGGCCAGCATGGAGAGGAGGACGGGGGAATGGATTGGACTGGTGGTCGTGGCGAGGGTGTCCTTCATCTGTCGAGCTACCACATTGTTGTTCCGTGCCCCTCGCTTGGTCGATTTGTTCGTCCTTGTTTGTGCAGAAAGCTTAAGTGTACCGAACCTCGCAGGGTGGGCCCTTTCCCAAGTCCGTGCTTCGGTGCGGATCGTAAGCGAAGCTCGTCTCCATAGTCGTCGGCGGCGTCCTCGTCCTGGTCGTGGTGTATTTTTGTTTTCTTGGCATCTGTCTCCATCATGCAGTGACAACCACCACAGTCATCCGAGGAGTTTCTCGTAGTGATTTTGTTGGCACAGTGCTCGTCTTCAAATCACATGATGGTGCCCACGTTCGTCTTTGGGAACTCCACGTGGCGCTTGACTTTGTTTCAGGTTGTGTAGTCGCCGGCCATGGATTTTGTTGATGTCTCCTTTGCTCAACTGCTTCCCCTCGAGTCCACGGAATAGTCACCACCTCCAGCCACTGCTGTGGAGACGCCACCGCGCAGTGTTTTATGAGGTAGATCGTTTCACCATGCTCTAGCCATTCCTCTCCTCCTGCTCCTCCCCATCTCACCACCAACCAAACCACCCCACCCCAACCCGAAGGCCTCAAGTTGTCCTCCATTTCCAGTGGGGGGCGTCGGGGAACGTTAAGCAACACATATGGAACACGCACCCCTCCAATCCCGAAATTCGGTCAAATTCGGGTCTTCGGGTTGGGGTGGGGTGGTTTGGTAGGTAGTCACCATCTCGCTTCTGCGAACGGGGCTCCAAGACTGCCCAGCAGGCCCCGCGAGACGCGGGAAATGCGCACGGCCTGCCCCAGGAGCGGCCCCAGGAGGCGCGAAGGAAGGCCCAGCACGGCGGAGCACAGCGGCACGCAGCAGCACGCAGCAGCAGACGGGAATCCTCGGCGGCAGGCGGAAGCAAGCAGCAGCAAGCAGCAGCAAGCATCCGCAAGCGGCAGCAGGCCTCGGCATCAGCACGAAGCGGCTCAAGCGGCAGCGACTCTCTCAGTGTGCCCAGACATAGTTGGTGCATGCGTTGGAGCCTCCAGAGCCTCAAACACTGCATTTGAACATGTGAGCCGTTATGCTTGAATTTATGATGGCTCAGTGTATCTCTGGGCGCACACATGGTGGGGGAAGCAACATGTTGTCCAGGGACGACATAACAGTGCATCGCTGCCAGCGGTGTTCGCGCTCAGCAGCAAGCTTATTTGCTGAAGTCGAACTCACTGGTGGCCAAGTCGCAGGAAACGTGGACACTCGTGGGCGACGAACATATTCGTGTCTGCGACCTCGCGTGCTGGGCCCCTGGGCCGCGACCCCGCGGATATGGGGTGTTTATTCGCGGATGCCCCGCGCGGACCATATCCGTGCGACCGTGTATCCGTGGGATCGCATTTGGAATCCAGACCGCGAGGGCGTGGATATGGATACGTTCGCCGCCCGTGAGGTACATCAAAGCAGATTGGTGCAGGAAACATTGTTGTACACATGCCGGCTTGCAGAGGACACCTCAACCGCGCAAACCCTGTGGACCTGCGAAGGCGACAGCGGGGATGATCACACGGGCAGAAGCAGGAGCGTGAGAGTGCCAAGCTGTGAAATTCTCGCTCGTGTCGTTCAGCCTTTCCCGCCGAATTGAATTCTTTCTGCATGCCGGACGGGCTTGTCAATGGCCTTCACAGATCAATTGGGTTTCGGAGCATTTTTGCCGAAGGTGGGCTTCGGACTATGTGCCGAATGCTCCTCTGCAGCATGCAGAGGCCAGCATTTTATCCTTCTGTTTCTGTGCGCATTCTGTGCGCAAGAACCAGGCCCTGATCATGCATGATGGCCAGGGTTTGCAAGGCGACTCCATGCTCACCCCCCACCTCTTCAATATTTCGTAACCGTAGTTGGTGGTGAAGACGTCTCGTAATTCGTATTTCGTGTTGTCTTTGACATGCGCCTGAAGCTTTGCGCAAGTTTCGATGGCCGCTAGGCCGTTTCCAGATGGAATCATATTCTTCTCATGTTGCTACTCCTGATTTAGGCGGGCGGTGGGCTGGGATGTCTCAGGGTTTTTCTTTCGTGGTTTCCTCATGTTGTCCAGACTCTGCCCCAGCGGTGTCCCGATATTGTGTTGATTGTGTTTTGATGGTGCCCCGCTGGTATCCCAACTGTGTCTTGATGACTTGTATGCTGTCTCAATGTTGGTTCGATGGCGGATGACGATGATGCTCGTAGGGATGCCATCGACGATGACGGTCTGCGTTCTCAATGTTCATTGTGGTCATGATGGCGATCGTGGAGTGGGTGTACAGGCATGCACAGCTCAGTGGGCGAGTGCACGTGAATTGCGAACCTGAGCTGAATTTGAACTGGAGCTTTAGAGGAGCAGTGGTCTGTTTCAACTCTTTTTTGCCGTGCTCCTATCAGGGCTTGTGGCCGACGTTTGGCTCAAGCTCTTCATGGCAAGCTGGGATCTGGGGCCGCCTGTACCACTTCGTGAACGTGTGGGGGCCCATAGCGGGCTCGTGGCTGGTGCGACCCCAGCTTTGCCCTGCCTGCACGTGCGACGCCGCGTGCGCGGAGCACGACGTGGAGCGGCCTTTGATCGACAGTGTCTCTTTCGCCCAGTGCGCAGCTCGACGGTGCTGGGACAGCGTGAACAGCAGTGCCACTCGGAGCCAGAAGGAGTGTGGCGAGTGTACCCCTTGCGGGTCCCTGTGGTGGCCGTGGCTGCTGCTGGGAGTGACGCTCGGCACCGTGCTCAGAACCCTCCTTGCCCAGCTCGCTGCTGTATTCTTTTTCATCGCACGCTTCAACTTCGGAGCCCTCTACTCGCCCAGGGTTGATCCTCGGCCTCGCCGGCGACGAGCTGGAACTGAGCCGCGCGCCAGCCAGGCGGACGGCGGAAGGCGACTCCCAAGAGTCTCAAGAGCGCGACGGATGTCGCTTGGTATTGCTAAACAGCATGTGGCAATCTATTTCTTTGACGTCCCGAACGGCTTCACCTAGCATCAAAGAGCGTTGGTAAACGGAATCTTAGCGGCGACATGAGTGGTGTGGACGCCAACGTTCGGGGTGGAAGTGACCGACTTGTCCCAGCATCGAGCCGTGCCGCTGAGCACGAACATCGACCTCTCAGATCGCGTTGCGGCGACTCTGTTTGCATTCGATCAGGACATCGACCCAGCGGACCTGGCCCGACTCCGCAACCAGGCCAAGGACTTGGCGGTGGTGTTGGGGATCGACCCGGCGGCGGTCAACTTGATGGTCGCGCCCGAAACATTCATCAAGGAGGAGACGGCCCTGGTGACCAACGTCGACACGTTCGCGGTTGCTCATCGAGTGGCTCGCAGCGGCCCAGACAAGTGGCGAGCGTCGAAGTATTCAGGAGCGGGCAGGGACACACGAGTGAGAGGCGTGGAGTTGACGGGCGACGGAAGGCGAGCGCTGACCGTTTCAAGCGCTAACAGCAAAATCAAGAAGCACGACGGGGTGATGTGATCGAATTCCCTCTGGGGGGGGGATCTGGCCGCGAAGGACCTGGCCGCGGGGATCGCGGCCAGTGGCGCCGAGGCCATCCAGTTCCGCAGTGTCTGGGGGACAGGTCGGGGTTGGTCGCTCGGGGTGCAGTGTCGCTTGGCCACGCCGTTTTGCTCGTCATTCTTCATATGCTCTCGCGGGACGAGCACAACCTGCTGTGCAGCGCGTCTTCGGATCTGCTTTGCCGTCGGATCTTGCAGGTCGAGCGTGCGGTTCGCAGGAACCGTGAGATGCTGGACCTCGCGGACCTCGAGGCCATGGCGGCCCACAGGCACGACGAGAGTAGCGGCAGCATGTGTCTCACGTTCGGCAAGTACCGCGCCGAGGTCCAGAAGACCTGGGCGCCCATCTTGAAGCAGAGCCGGCTGTGGAAGGAGGGGCAGGACCACGACGACTGCAGCAGGAGGCCTCCGAAGGACAACCGGAACAGAAAGACCAAGACGGATAAGAAGGACTCCGACTACAGCTAGCCGTGGTTGGCGGCCGACCAGGGGGCGGCGGCGCGTCTCGTTCAGGAGGGGCGAACCCCTGAGAGCGTCTGGGCAGTCGACGGCGGTGTTGGGGCGGCCTTTGATGCCGTTGATCGCCAGGCGGGCGGGTGGATCTTGCCGCCGCGAGAGAGCCTGTCCCTCGCCGTGGCGGGTCTCGTCATCGCGATTTCCTCCCATTGCCCCGCGCGCTCGGGGGGCAGGGCGGGTGCTCGGAACAGCGTGGCCGAGGGGCTTCTCGCCGCCGACGGCGCCGGGCCGCAAGGGCGGTCAAGGATGCCATCCCGGCGCGCAGCGGTCTGGCGCAATCCCGAACCCAGAAGGGCTCGTTGCGGCCATGCGTCGCGGTTCCGCCCTCTGCTTCGCCTGCGCCGGCGCAGTCTTCGGCTTCGACTTCGCTTCGGCGGCGGGCTTCAGTCTGGGGCCGCGGCCTCCCGAGATGTCGCAGGCAGGCTCCCTGTGGAGTTTCCGTTGCGCCCAGGGATCTGCGGCTCTGGAGGGGGAGCGGCCAGAGAGGAGTTCGACCGTGATCGACTCAAGGTCTTCGCGGGGCAGACTCGCCCCATGCCCGCTGAACTCCGCCTCGGGCCCGGGCGGAGCTGGCACCTGGGCGCCCGGGGGCGCGTGGTGCGGAGCGACGAGGAGCTGGCTCAGTTCTCGGACTCTGGCCAGATGACCACCCCGCGCGGGGCCCCCCCGCCGGCGCGGCCCCTCTCCCCAGAAACAAACGACACCACCCCGCCTGCGGTCCGCCATGTTTCGCCGCAGCCCATCGGGCGCCGTGGCGCATGCCGAGCAAAAGCCCACGCCAGATTTTATGGTACGTATACGCCAAGCCCCCTGGGCCCTGGGGCCGCAGGTAGGGCGGCGTCGCTGTTTTCTTTGGCCCAGTCCCCGTCCGCCATGAAGACGCTCATCCATGGGCTGGCGGATGTGAACGTGCTGGGCCTGGCCCGGCAGGCGCAGGCTTTCGCTTCGGGTTCTTCTCGTGCCCCAGAGAGGCAAGAATCGGCGGGGGGGGTTCGACGCGCGGCAGGCGCGCCAGTTCCACGTCGACCCGCCGTGCGCCGCGCTCTCCGCCAGCTTCGCGCTGGGGGCTGTGGACATGGGCGTGGATACGGTCGACGGGGGCGCGCGCGCCCCCCCCCCTGGGCGACGAGCTTGGGGGGGCAGGCTTGGGCGACGCCGTCCGCGCAGAAGCGCAGTCCGAAGGCAGCCGGGGCCGCGTCTTCGGCTCGGTCGGGTGTTGACCTGCGCGACGGCTTCTGCCAACTTGATACGCGGCGGATGTGCTCGTGGTCTGCATCGAACATCCGCGTTCGCGCAGGTGACTTACCTGGGCCCAAAGTCTGGGGCGAGGAGGTCCAGGAATATTTTGCGCCGAGTCCCGACGAGTGGCTCTGCCCCGCGATGCGCGCCGTGCCTATGGGGTGCAAGTGGGCGCTTCACTTCTGCTGTGCGGCAGGTGCTGGCGGTGTCGAGCGGGCCTCGCGTCGCTCGCAAGGCTCCGTTGCATGTGGTCGACGGGCTCTACCGCTGGTCGCGCCGTGGGCTTCGGTCGAGGCGCCGTGCGTGGATGGCGTTAACATCCCGTGCGGTGGCGAGGTCGTGGAGGCTGCTGTGATCGAGGCCGTCGTCCGCGACCTCGAGGCCAAGGGGCTGGTGCTGTGCGACGTGGTCTCCAGCGAGACCGGCTTCTCGCTGGGCCTTCGCCTGGGCGGGGGGCGCGGCGTGCTGGGGCCCGAGGCGGGCCGCTCGTGGCGGCCTTCGCGGGCGCCGCGCTGCCTGGCCAACCGACGGCACGCCGCGCCAGCCCAGCCGCGTCGTATCCTGTGCCGCGCGTGCTGCCGTTTTGGTCCGAACCCTGAGTGCGATTCCGTTCCCCAGCCTTGCTTCAGTTCTGCCGGCGACGCCGCGGGCGTGCGCGGCTCCCAGCGTCCGCGGCGCCCGAGCTGGCCGCGCCGGCCGCGCTCGAGGCATGGGCGAAGATCTACTGCGGCGACGCCTCGAGCAAGGGCTTCGCGCCGCGCGAGTGGCCCGGGGAGGTGATGGAGCTAGCGCGCTGGCGAGAGCGATGGCGCTTCTTGCCGTCCTCGCCAGACGCCCGCGAGGCGCGGGGGCGGGCGCCTCGTTCCCGTTCGGCTTGCCTCGTGGAGCTGTCGCTGCGCCAGAATTTGGGCATCCTCTTCGGCCCGCTTGTCCTCCAAGTGGCCGCGCGCGTCGATGCTTTCATCGGGAGTGGGTCGAGATCGATGGGGCTCGTGCCGGCCGTCCCCGACCGCGTGGTCCACCGCGACCTGTGGCGGGGTGTTCTCCGGGGTGCTGGAGTCGATTTGCCTTCGCCGCCGTCCCTTGTCTCGATCCTGGTGCTCATTGGGAGGTCGTGGTTCGCTCGTCGACAACCCTTGCTCCCTCCTCGTTTTCGGCGTGCCGGGCTAGCGCGCGGCGCCTCAACAGAGCGCGTCGGCAGCAATGATGGCCGCGAGCATTCGCTGGGGATGCCGCGACTGCAGGTCGCATCGCATCTTCTCGGACGAGGACTGTCTGTCGTTTTGATGACCGAGGTCTGCTTCGGCCGGGGCAAGTTCGCAGAGGGCGTCGCTGGGTCGGGCCTCGTCAGGCCCGCGTCCTGGGCCCCGGGTCCGACGGTCCGTCTGTGGAGTTGGTTCGGGCCGCCCTGGGCTCTGAAATTCCGCTGCGACCTCCTCTTGGCCTGTCCGTCGTCAAGGGGCCCGTCGATGTCTCCGTGGAGGTGAAACCCTGATTTGGGTTCGGGGCCTTTCAGCCTCTGCCTCTGCCAGGAGCTGGCCGACGGCGTGGGCCGCGCCCCGCGTTCAGGCGGAGCTTTTCGGCAGCCGGAGCAGGCCCGTGGGTGCGCGCGCCGCGCGTCGTGCCCGACGTCATTTTCGCAAGAGCATGCGCGCGCGCTCTGACGACTTCTTCGGACCGCCATAGGGTTGTTCAACGTAATCACCAGATAATAACAGAAGGCCCTCGCACGCGCATGTCGGCATCCTTCGAGCGCCCTTGCGCGCGTGCTTAGGTGGGGGTCGGTGGTTGGGTGGGTGGGTGGGTGGGGGGGGGGGCGCGACCCCTGTCGAATGACACCGTGCGGACCACTCGCGCGCATCGGCCGCGCGCGCATGTCGAAATCCTCATCGCAATCTTCATTTCCGACGCGAGGATATCATCATCGTCATCAGCCTGATCAGCATCGGCGCCGTCATTGGCTTTGCTGTCGTCATTGTCAGCGTCGTCACGAGCATCGCTACTATCATCTTCGTGTCTGCCGTTGTCGACGTCGCCATGATACCGTGCCCGCCCGTGTCACCGACTTGCGCGGAAGTGCGCGCGCGTCAGCGCGGCTTACGAGACGCGTTGGGAAGTCCCCAGCGGTCAGCACCACGGCGGCCGCGTCGGTCGCGTCAGAGTAGCTGTCCGCTTTGCGCGCGAACCTGCGCGCTAGCGCGGCCGCGGCGGTGCGCCAGCCAGCGCCGAGCAGTCATCGCAATCGCCGCCGCATGATTTTTGCAAACCAAATTGCCGGTGGGTTGGTGGATTGCACGAGCCAGGGCGAAGTGCACCGCACACATTGCACACCATAAATTGCGCAACGTCTATTACACGACGTAGATTTACCACAATGACTGCACCGCCAGTGTTGTACTACATAGATTGGGCAACGTAGTCTGCACCACATATAGTGCACCGTATATATTGCACCGCATAAATTCCACATGTTGGACATATAGTACAAATTTGTTGTTCAACATAGATTGCGCCACATATCTAATTCCAAATAAATACCACCACATTTTTATACTTGAACAAACACTGTTTGGGGGCCGCGCTGGTTGACATTCTGTTATTTCGAACCCTGTCGTACAACGTCGGAACACCTCCGGGGGTGGACTCTTCGGCGTCTCTGTGCGTTTTCTGGGAGCCTCCTGTTTTTTATGTTTGGTTTTCCTGTTGAACTATTGGGGGCTGTCTTGGGCCATCTTGGGCCACCTTTGGGTTATCTTGGGGCCTCTGTGGGCTGTTCGGGGCGTGTGGATCGTGCCACCTATTGACCCCCTCTCCCGGGCGCTTTTCGAGTTCCGTTGGGGCGTTCCTGCGGCGTTGTTGGGGGTGGTGCCGGCCCTTTTGGAGTTGTTGTTATTTCCACTTGGAAGTATCTTGGGCGATCTTGGAGTCATCGTGGGGCCTGAGAAGCTCATCGGTAGCGAAAAGGTGAGAAAGCCAACGTCATTGAAACATCGTGTGCTTCTGGATGGTACCTGCATGGCTGTTCAATGATGTTGTCCTGTTGTGCGCATTTTCGTAGCTGTTTTGGGTCATCTGGTTTGGTCCTCCTCCTCCTCCTCCTCCTCCTCCTCCGCCTCCTCCCCCTCCTCCTCCTCCTCCTCCTCCTCCTCCTCCTCCTCCTCCTCTCCTCCTCCTCCTCCTCCTCCTCCTCCTCCCTCCCTCCCTCCCTCCCTCCCTCCCTCCCTCCCTCCCTCCACTTCTGAGGCACGTTTCCACGCCCGCCTTGGGGCCTGCCATTCATTGGTGCCGCGCTTGGTCCTTTCTCTGGCCGTCTTGGAGGTCTCTGGAGTCCTTGTGGGGCTCTTTTGAGCTCCCCTTTCGGTTTTCTCCGGCGATTTTCCGCCAGCCTGAGGCGTCAGAGGTCAATCGGAACTGGAAAGACGATATGGCCAAGATCGCTGAAACGACTACTTGGTCAAAAACATGTTGGAGACCTCCTGGGGATTGTCTTGAGCAATCTTGGGCCGCCCTGTGGAGGTTTATTGGGGCTATATTTGGGCCATTATGGGGCCTCCCACCTATTGACCCCCGCTCTTGGGCGTTCTTGGAGCTCCCTGGTGGCGTTCCTAGGGTGCTCTTGGGGTCCTGAAGGATGCGCCCAGGAGTTCGGGCATCTCGAATCGGATTTGCTTAAGGTATTTTCCCGTTTGGGACCCTTGTGGGCCGCCACGCGCGCGCGAACTATTAATACACAATTATTCTTAACCTCTTACCGGTGCTTTTGGCCCGCTATGCCGGTGAAATTGCAATTCTTAGTCACTTCATCTTTCTGCGTGCTCTAGGGGACGCCTCGAAAATGTTTATGATTTCAGAATCACCCTCGTGTGCAAGATTGGAGTTGAACTTCGACCACGCATGCGAACATGAATGTGTGAACGGAGTGAGCAGCAAGCATGTTACTCAGATGAGCCGCGGTGGGCATCATCTCTGCTCCCAGCCTAACTTGGCCGAAGGCGGATCTGCTGGGTGCGCACCCAAGTTTTTCTTGCCCGCGGCGCCGATTGGCAGCACGCAGCAAGGATCACGGATCTGGAGGGTGGAGGAGTACGTTTGCTCTCCACGACGCCGCCGTGCTTAATTGTCAGGATCGTGCAGCTGCCGAGTCCTCGAAAAGGCGCCGTGCTGTCTCCTCGTCGTGCGCGCTGCTCCGTTGAGCTTGCCAGCGATGGGGATCTCTCGAGCAAAATGCTTCCTTCGTCGGGATGTCGCTGCCACTGGCCAGGCCCGCCCCAGTTCGAGGGTTGTTCCGTGGATGATACTGGTCCGGCCAGCAGGTTCCGAAGACGAAAGGGATGGTCATGATGAGTGTGGCCAGCTTTGGTGACATCACCTCCTCCCTCTTTCTTCTCGTTCCCCCTCCTGCTCCTGTGGCTTCTTCCGCTTGTCCCTGGCAATCCTTCTTCTGCGCCGCCTCCTTCTCCTGTCTGTGCTCGTGCTTCTGCGTTTCCTTCCTCCTCTTCCACCTTTCTTTCCTCCGTGTTTTCTTCCTCCCTCCTAGCTCCTCCTCCTCCTCCTGCTCCTCCTCCTTTTCCTCTCTCCTCCTCTCCTCCTCCCCGCCTCCTCCTCCTCCTCCTCTGCCTTCGTCCTCCTCTTCTCCACCTCCCTGCTGCTGTTGCTTCTCGGACTCCTGAGGAGGAGGAGGGGGGCCAGTGTAAACCCCGATGTAATCGTCTTTCCCTCCAAGTTCATGTTTGATAGGTCCCGATAGGACTCTTTTCATTGCGAGAAGTGCCCCATTGAAAGATAAGTGTTTCAGATTCCTCAATCGTGCTAAAGAGGCAGTCATGAGACCTCAAGGCCGCGAATCAACGTGACTGCAGCGTCCTGGCACCCCCTAACCGTGCCATACTTTAGTTCCTGGTATGTCCGCACCACGGATCCGTGTAACTGTTGCGCCCTGGCAGCCCTGAGTCGTGCCAGAACACCGCTCCTGTGCCTTCAACCCTGCGAATCCTTGAAAGGGCAACCGTTTCAGACGAGTGCGTGCGGCGCGAGGGCGAGAGCCGCACCTTGAAGAGGCGCTGTTCTCCATCCTGGAAGCTCTTGCGCGCTTTGGGGGCGAATGTGCGCGGCGCGGAGGCAAGAACCACATTTTGAAAACAACCCGTCCTCCATTTTGGCTATGTTGCAAGTTCAAGGCGTTTCAAACTTGAAGCTCCGGGATCATACATGGCGAGGGGGTCTCAGGAGCAACGCCAGGCCCGCTCTACCAACACGTCTGTGGGTGCGACAGGGAAGAGTTATGTACAAGGAGAAGTGATGGAGCAAGAGGAGGAGGAGGAGGAGAAGGAGGAGGAGGAGGAAAAGGAGGGCGGAGGAAAAGGAGGAGGAGAATGAGGAGGAGGAGGAGGAGGAGGAGGGAGGAGGAGGAGGAGGAGGAGGAGGAGGAGGAGGAGGAGGAGGAGGAGGAGGAGGAGGAGGGAGAGAGGGAGGAGGAGGAGGAGGAGGAGGGAGGGGAGGAGGAGGAGGGAGAAGGAGGAGAAGGAGGAGGCGTTTGGCCGAGGCACGGGGGTGGGACGCGCCCCCCCCGCCATGGCCGGGCAGCGCCCAGCGCGGCGCCATACGCCCGCGAGGAAGAGGTACAGGTCCCTGTACTTCTTCATTCCGAACTCGCTGTACCTGTTTTACAACACTCTGATCATCAAGTACCCGTTGTACTTGATCATCCTCACCGAGCTTTACAAGAACCCCTGGGACATTGTTAACCGCTGGTGCGCCCTCACGGTTTGGTCAGGCCCTGGAGTGGCCTGTTACTACTCAAGTACGGCACCAAAATGAATCAGCTACGAGATTATCGGTTCCATCCGAGAGTTCCCCGCGTTTCTCGAGACCACGGATACTTCAATCTTGAGGCAGCTTCCAACCGTAAGTTGCCGTGCGCGGGTCGCAAGGGCGACTCCACAGCGAAGGACCTGGTCATCCTCGTGTGACAACGTTGGAGCGCCGGTTTTGTGGCCACCAACAGCAAGTTCAAGTCCAGCAAGTATTTTGCCGAGTTTGTGCCAGTCAGCTTGCCCGATGCTCGATGTTGCGACGACAGCGAGAAATGCCGTACCATTCAGTGCGACCTCGGGCAATCCAGCCTCGTGGCCCCCCGGTGCTGCCCGCCGCGGACAGCCGGCAGCGTTGCGACAGCCACCAGCAGAGCTGCGACGGCTATCGGCAGAGCTACGCGGACCACGAACAGAGCAACGCGGACCGCAGGCATAGCTGCGACGGCCACGAGCAGCGCTACGCCGGCCGCCAGAAGAGCTACGCGGGCCACAAGCCAGACAACGCAGACTACTAGCAGAGTTACGACGGCTGCCAGCAGAGCTACGCGGGCTGCCAGCTGAGCTACTGCGGCCGCCAGAAGAACTACGACGGCCACCAGCAGAGCTACGAGGCCCACAAGCCGGATTACGACGGCCGCAAGCAGAGCTACGACGGCCAGCAGCAGCGCTGCGCGGACCACAAGCAGAGCTACGACGGCTACCAGCAGAGCTACGCGGACCACCAGCGGCGCAACGCGGATCACAATCAGAACTACGACGGCCACCAGTGGACTTACGAGGGCCACGAACCAGACTGCGACGGCCACCAGCAGAGCTACGCGGACCACCGGCAGTGCTGCGAGGACCACGAGCAGAGCTGCGACGGCCACCAGCAGAGCTACGCGGACCGCGAGCAGAGCAACGCGGACCACAAGCAGAGCTACGACGGCCACATGCCGAGCTACGATGGCGACCGGTAGAGCTACGCGGACCTCAAGCAGAGCAACGCGGACCGCAAGCAGAGCTACGACGGCTACCTGCAGAGCTAGGCGGACCACGAGCAGCGTTCCGCCGGCCACCGGCAGAATACGACGGGCACCAGCAGAGTGACGAGCGCCACAAGCCGCGGACTACGACGGCCACGGGAAGAGCTGCGACGGCCAGCAGAGCCACGCGGACCGTAAGCAGAGCTGCGACGGCCACCAGCAGAGCTACGCGGGCCAAGAGAGCAACGCGGAGCAAAAGCAGAGCTACGAGGGCTTCCGGAGCTACGAGGGCCAGAGGTGCGACGGCCACGAGCAGAGCTACGACGACCACCAGCAGAGCTACGAGGGCCACGGGCAGAGCTACGACGGCCACCGGCAGAGCTGCGCCGACCACGGGCAGAACAACGCGGATCACGAGCAGAGCTACGACGGTCACAAGCAGAGCTACGCCGGCCACCAGAAGAGCTACGCGGACCACAAGCTGGGCAACGCGGACGGACTACGAGCAGAGCTACGACGGCCACCTGCAGAGCTAGGCGGACCGCAAGCAGAGCTTCACCGACCACCAGCAGAACGACGACGGCTGCAAACAAAGCTGCGACGGCCACCAGGGCGAGCTCGCGCGGTGGGGGGCCGCACAAACAACCCCCAACCGCCCCCAGGCACGATCAGAGCTACGCGCCCGAGAGCTAAAATTCGCAGGGCTACGAGGGCGCGAGGCAGAACTTCGCTATGGGCTACGGGCTGGGCCTGACAGCGCTCGCTTCAAATCTTTCCAGGCCAGGCCATCGATGTGGAAGGAGACAGGTACGCCTGGGCAGGCCAGGCCGCGAACGCCTATGAGTGGTACTCCCGCACGTGCGAAGAAATCTTCCGTATGCTCCAACGCCTTCCAGATCCGAACATAAATCGCCCCGTGAAGACGTATGTGGAGATTTTCACGACAAACATGAAAACTTGAAATTAACTACATCCTGTACTCCTTCACCTGTGTCTACAAGATGTACGTTGCCGGCGTCATAGGCGCCGCAAGCCTCGAGTATTTTTCCTCGGAGGTTTCCTTTCGCGGGTGGGTGGAATGACCTGCGACGTCAACGGCTGTGCTCCTCCCCCCCGAGGCCGCGGCGACGTTTTCTTCCCTCTCTCGACGACCTCCGCCGCTATAACGACGAGCGGGCGATTTGACTACGTGCGGCCCCCCTCCCCTCCCTCGTAGCCAGTGGCTCGCCTGCCCCGACGGGGTGCGGCGGAGGAGGTCGTGGTCTACGTGACTACATGAGCCGTTGCCACGTGCCGTGGCTGCCGTCGGCGCCGGGCACGGCCCGCCCCCGCGGCGGGGCGCGCTGCGCGCGCGTGCGCGGCTGGAGAGGGAACGCCCGCGCGCGTTTGCGGCAGGAGGAGGAAGAGGAGGAACAGGAGGAGGAGGAGGAAGAGGAGGGGGAGGAGGCGAGGAGGAGGAGGAGGAGGCGGAGGAGGCGGAGGAGGATGATAAGAATAGTGATAAGAGGAAGACGAAGAAGAAAACAAATAAGCATACGAGTAAGAAGAAGACGAACAATCTGAAACATAAGAAACATAATATTAAGGATAAGCATGAGAATGGGAATGCTCATAATAATTAGAATCAGACTAATAAGACTAATACTAATAATACTATTTAGAAGAATATTAATAAGAAGAAACATAATAATACTACGAATGCGCATAGTAATGACATTAAGAATACTAATAGTCATCATACTAATACTATGAAGAAGCAGGATAAACCAAACTTTAATACGAATAATACGAAGAGTCATAATAATAATAAGAATAGTAGTAATACTACTAATACGAATAATAATACGAAACCGAAGAAGAGGAGGAGGAGGAGGAGGAGGAGGAGGAGGAGGAGGAAGAGGAGGAATGGGGGGTGGAGGACGATGGTGATCACGACGGCACCCTAGCCTCCACGAAAGCTCGTGGGCCTCTCACGGGGTGCGCCTCCCAGCGACTCTGCGGCGTCACCTCGCGTGGCCTTCTCTGCGGGGGCCCCCTCCCTGCCCCCTGCCCTGGGATTCCGGCGTTTTATTTTTCCGATCCGGGCGTGGAGGAGGAAGAGGAAGAGGAGGAGGAAGAGGAGGAGGAGGACGAGGAGGAGGAGGCGGAGGAGGAGGAGGACGAGGAGGAGGAGGAGGAGGAGGAGGAAAAGGAAGAGGAGGCGGAGGAAGACGAGGGGGAGGAGGAGGACCAGTGGAAACCCAGAATCATCAACGATGTTGGAATCACCCCCCCTCCAAACTGTTTGATCATTGGCCCCATACATCCATTGAGGGACCTGCCTCGTTGGAAGGCAACCGTTTAAATATCCTGAAGCGTGCCAAAGCATTGTTCTCGGGATTCCAACGTCACGTTTCAACCTGACTGCTGCGTCTTGACGATCCAGAATCCTGCCAGAACGCCGT